GTAATCTGAGCTATCTAGTGCACGCACATTGCTATAAAGACACTGAGTGATGTCTGATTTTCACAGGTCAGCCATTTTGGGCGTCGCCCATTTAGATTTTTGGTCAAAAATGCTATATTTTACCAACACATTCACATATCATTACAAAACATGGTATGCATCTTCAACCCCATACCCTGAAAGTCCTTAAAAACTTCTGGAGCACACACCTTTTGGTCAAAAGTGCTTGGCCCCTTAATTGTTGCTTGCAGCTATAATTAGGGGCCAAGCACCGTAGGTGCGTAGGCACCTATTGGATCCGTTAGCGTTCCTTTTATTAGGGGCCTAGCACCGTAGGTGCGTAGGCACCTATTGCTTTCGTTAGTGTTCTTATTATTATTAGGGGCCAAGCACCGTAGGTGCGTAGGCACCTATGGCTTTAGTTAGTGTTCTTATTAGGGGCCAAGCACCGTAGGTGCGTAGGCACCTATTGGATCCGTTAGCGTTCCTATTATTATTATTCTTCTTCCTTCTTCTTCTTCTTCCGTTTCTTCCGCCAGATTTGAATGGCAGCCCATATAGGCGTATGCGGTAAAGTTGTATAATTTGGCACAATGATAGAGGACATTATTAACAGTAATCAGACCAAATATGAAGTCTCAAAATCAAACTCTCTAGCGCCACCACTTGTCCAAACTTTCCCGTATGTTTATCATAATAACTTTTGAACCGAATAGGCTACAATCAAAATTCTTTTTTCCTCTGATTCCTTGGCTCAGTGTGATTCAAACGCACAATATGATGTCATTTTCCGTCATGAATTTTTTCGCGCTATTTTAAATTTTTCGTAAAACCCATTTGATCGAACTCGTCCTAGGTCGTTTCTCCGATTTTCACCAAAATTGATTCACATGATCTACAGACCATGCAAACCAAAAGTTATGGAATTGAAGTTGATTTGACCAACCGTTTTCGTTTAACTTGCGATCAAATTTAACGTAGGACTTGCGAAAACTGGTCTCATTACATCCGGCAGAGCATGCCGAGTCGAATGATGTCTGATTTTCACAGGTCAGCCATTTTGGCCGTCGCCCATTTCGATTTTTGGCCAAAAATGCTATATTTTACCAACATATTCACATATCATTACAAAACATGGTATGCATCTGGCACAATGATAGAGGACAGTATTAACAGTAATCAGACCAAATTTGAAGTCTCAAAATCATTTTGGGCGTCGCCCATTTCCATATTTGCCAAAAAATGCTATATTTTACCAACACATTCACATATCATTGCAAAACATGGTATGCATCTTCAACCCCATGCACTGAAATTACTCAAAAACTTCCGGAGCAGCGTCACCTTTTGGGCAAAAGTGCTTGGCCCCTTAATTGCTGCTTGCAGCTATATTTAGGGGCCAAGCACCGTAGGTGCGTAGGCACCTATTACTTTCGTTAGTGTTCTTCTTCTTCCGTTTCTTCCGCCGGATTTGAATGGCAGCCCATATAGGCGTATGCGGGAAAGTTGTATAATTTGGCACAATGATAGAGGACAGTATTAACATTAATCAGACCAAACATGAAGTCTCAAAATCAAACTCTCTAGCGCCACCACTTGTCCAAACTTTCACATACATTTATCATCATAACTTTTGAACCGAATAGGCTACAATCAAAATTCTTTTTTCCACTGATTCCTTGGCTCAGTCTGATTCAAACGCACCATATGACGTCATTTTCCGTCATGAATTTTTTCGCACTATTTAAAATTTTTTGAAAAACCTATTTGATCGAACTCGTCCTAGGCCGTTTCTCAGATTTTCACCAAAATTGAATCACATGATCTACAGACCATGCCAACCAAAAGGTATGGAATTCAAGTTGATTTGACCAACCGTTTTTGTTTAACTTGCGATCAAATTTAACAAAGAACTTGCGAAAATGGACTTGAGAAGATATCTCCGTAACGCATTCACCGATTCACACCAAACTTGGTGTGTGTTATGACAACTAGGGTCTGAAGTTATATGCAGAGTTTAGGCGCACTGCCCCCTAGTGGTCCGGATATACAAAAAACTTGCTTTTTTGGCTTAAACCGTCTTAACCTTTCGTCCGAAACTCATAAAACTGGTCACATTACATCCGGCAGAGCATTTCGAGTCGAATGATGTCTGATTTTCACAGGTCAGCCATTTTGTGCGTCGCCCATTTAAATTTTTGGCTAAAAATGCTATATTTTACCAACATATTCACATATCATTACAAAACATGGTAAGCATCTGCCACAATAATAGAGGACAGTATAAACAGTAATCAGACCAAATATGAAGTCTGAAAATCAAACTCTCTAGCGCCACCACTTGTCCAAACTTTCACGTATGTTTATCATCATAACTTTTGAACCGAATGGGCTACAATCAAAATTCTTTATGAATGCTATATTTTACCAACACATTCACATATCATTACAAAACATGGTATGCATCTTCAACCCCATGCACTGAAAGTACTCAAAAACTTCAGGAGCAGCGCCACCTTTTGGGCAAAAGTGCTTGGCCCCTTAATTGCTGCTTGCAGCTATATTTTTTATATTATTTTTGATATGCATGCATTTATTTTTTTCATATTTTGTTTTTTCATTCATTTTCTTGTCGGCTTAGTCCCTTTATTAATCCGGGATCACCACAGTGGAATGAACAACTTATCCAGCAAGACACTTATACACTACAGACAATTTAGTCTACCCAATTCACCTGTACCGCATGTGTTTGGACTGTGGGGGAAACCGGAGCACCCGGAGGAAACCCACGCGAATGCAAGGAGAACATGCAAACTCCACACAAACGGCAACTGAGCCGAGGATCGAACCAGTGACCCAGCTACCTTCTTGCTGCGAGGCGACAGTACTACCTACTGCACCACTGCTTTGCCCATTTTGTTTGTTTAAGGGAAATTTTGTTCTCTGTTTATGAGGAGGGTGCCTTTCTGTCTTTCTGTTTTGCTCCCTCTATAGATATGCAACAGCATTGTGTGGCATAATCTTTTATCAGCATCTTGGTCCTGTTTGCTGGAGCTCAGTGACTTCTTGATTATGCTAAAGGCTGACTGTAGACCAATGGCGTGCAAGTTGCCCGAGGCGTTTTGCCTAATGTTTGGTCACTGTGGGTTTAAAATAAACTTTTTGTTACATGACTTTTGGCTTACCCTCCTTTTTTTTTTCTTTTTTTTTTGACTTGAAAGCATAACAGGAAGGCAGTGCATCCCGAGAGATAGCTGGAAGTGAGAGACTGGCCCTCACATCCTTCCCAGAAATCCATGGGGAGGCTGAAGGCACGAGAGGACACAGTCCATGCTCTGAGCCTGTAGTGAGGTACAATGAGATTACGAGCTAGAGGGCAGTATGTCCCAGACTAAGAACGCTCGAAACTTCACATACAGAGAGAGAACACTGTACTTTCATTTAACTGTATATTTGTGCAGAAATAATCCTCAGCCCTCCACCGGGGAGAAAGCACCTTCACTCAACTTCAGGTGACCCATCTTAGGGACACTGCACGGTCCATTACTTAATTTAGCGGTGCCCTGGAGGGGGTGACCTTTTCTAAGGTTTTTGGCTTCTAAGAACATTGGTAGAACATGCTTAGTCACCCTTTTACAAATACTCTTGGACAGTCCTTGACAGAGTTGCTGAATCAGCTAGCATGGCATGGGATATGGGATGTCAAGAAGGCAAACCATGTCCAGATTCCATTTATTTTTCAATTCAATTCAATTCAGCTTTATTTGTATAGCGCTTTTACAATGTAGATTGTATCAAAGCAGCTTCACATAAAAGATCAGTACCTGGATTAGGGTAGTTAAGTTTTTAGTGTTTAAGTTCAGTTCAGTTTAGCTCAGTTCAGATTGGTTTAAAGTCATTACTGAGAGTTCAAACAATGAAGAGCAAATTCATTGATGCGTAGCTCTACAGATCCTGAACCATGCAAGCCAGTGGCGACAGCGGAGAGGGAAAAAAAAAAACTTCACCAATAGGAAAGTGAAGAAAAAAAATCTTGAGAGAAGCCAGACTCAGTTCGGCACGACCATTTTAATTTCTCCGCTGGTCAAAAATTTGTCCACTTTATTTAACTTAATGTGTAATGTGCATTTACATAGTGCAATTATTGTGTATAGCCAGAGTGCTTCACAATCTTGAGGGGGGTCTCTCCACACAACCACCAGTGTGCAGCATCCATTTGTATGACGCGTTGGCTGCCACAGGACTATGGCACCAGCTTGGTTACCACACACCCGCTATTGGTGGAGTGAAGTAATTTGGAGGATAAGGATGATTGGGAGGCCATAATGGGTAAGAGCTTATGCAGGGATTTAGGCCACGGCACTCTTTGCAAGAAGTGCCATGAGATTTTTAATGACAACAGAGAATTAGGACCTCGGTTCAACATCTCAGACGAGGGATGGCTCTTACTGACAATAAAGTGTCCCCATTACAATACTGGGCCATTAGGACTTGAGTGGCTTAACAATATCTTAAACCACTGTGTGGACATCACCCTGCAATATGCTGCCCTCTTTTCCAGGGACGCACATGCATATTTAAACAAGACAATGCAAAACCACTTTCTGCACACATTACAAAGTCCTGGCTGTGGAGGAAGTGGATACAGGTACTTGACTGCCTTGCCTGCAGTCCCAGCCTAAAAGAGAATTGTTGACTCATTTTGAAGCGCATAACGCGACAACAAAGATCCCATACTGTAGCCCACCTTAAGACTTGTTTGCAGGACGAATGGGACAAAATCACACCTGAAACACTTCAGCACTTGGTGTCTCCAGTCCCTAAACATATTTTAAGTGTTGTGAAAAAGAATGGCAACATTAAATTAGTAAGTTTTACTGTTACAGCTTGAAATACTTAGGACACAAACAAGCATGAAAGGAGCTTTTTTTAAATAATCATGTTCATAACACTTTATGATACATGTATACAGACTTGACTTACACATTTCCTTTTTACAGGTTTAGCTGAGAGTAAAGATGAACTGAGGATTGTTCTTCTGGGAAAAACTGGAGTTGGAAAAAGTTCAACTGGAAACACCATTTTAGAAAAATCTTCTTTTTCTGCAGATGTATCTCAAGAATCTGTTACTGAAAAGTGTCAGAGTGAAACATGTGAAATCAATGGCAGACGCATCACTGTGATCGACACTCCAGGACTGTTTGATACTGAACTAAGTGAAGAGGAGTTCCAGAGAGAAATCAACAACTGCATCTCCATGATTCTGCCTGGACCACATGTGTTCATCATCGTGCTCAGTTTAGGACAGAGATTCACTAAAGAAGAAGACACATCAGTGAAGTTTATGCAGGAGACGTTTGGTAAACACTCTCTAAAGTTCACCATGGTGCTCTTCACCAGAGGAGATTCTCTGAAAAACAAAACTATTGAAGATTTCCTGGGGAAACCTGGATCTGTGGTGAGAAAATTGCTTGAAACTTGTGGAAACAGATACCATGTGTTCAACAATAATCAGCCTGAAGACCGAACACAAGTGTCTGAACTACTGGAGAAGATAGACAACATGGTAATGATCAGAGAGATGGAGAGACAAAAACAAGAACAGCAGATAAAGATCCTGATGGACAGAGACAAAGAAACAGAAGAAAAGATGAAGAAACTAAAAGAAGAGAATGAGAAAATGAAGAAGATGATATATGAAGAACGTCAGAATCAGGAGAAAGAGAGAAAGAGAGTAGAAGAAGATGAGGAAAGAAGAGAAAAAGAGAAACAGATTTCAGAAGAACAGACTCAGAGACTTTATAAAATAGAAGAAATAATAAAAGAATTAGTAATAAAAGAAAGAGAGAGACAGGAACATTTAGAGGACTTACAGAAGAAAAAAAAAGAAGAAAAATACAAGAGAGAAGAACATAAAAAGATTTTTGAATAGAAACTGATGCTTCTTGAACAACAGCATGAAGATAATTTAAAAAGAAGACAAGCAAGATCTTCAGATGTTGTTTTTGGTGAGATCATCTGTCAGAAACTGAAAGAGCCCATTGAGCAGAGCGTCTACAAGAAAACTGCCAGAGATTTAGCAGATGAAATGAAAACAGACTGTGCATCACTGAGTGGAAACAGATCAAATCTAGAGAAACACATCCTGAAGACACTGGCAGAAGAGGAGGACTTTGTGACACTGACTAAATTTTAATATCCCTTAGGTCACTACAAGAGTTTCATCAGAGATGAAGTCAGTCGCTACATCAGAGATAAGTTCAGCATCAGTGTTTTACCCAAGATGAAGGAGAACATTAAACTCCTGCAGCAGAAGATCATGAACGCAGCACATCAATCTACTGAACAGGATCAAGTCAACAGTGGAGATGTTGGTTTGTGGTTGAAGAGTTTCACACAGCAGCTCTCAGATCAGCTGGGGCCTCATGTATCAACGCTGCGTACGCACAAAAACTTTGCGTACGCCAGATTTCACGCTCAGAATCGCTCACGTTTGGATTTACTAACAATGAACTGAACGTGGGAATGTGCGCAGGTTCACGGCAGGTTTCTGGCAGGCGTACGCACATTTTTTGTGCGTGTCTGTTTTATTTCCATTGGCGACTCCTAGAGGCAGTTGTGTTAAATTCCTCTCTACAAAGTGTCTGATCCTTGCAATGGCAGCTGTATGAGACGGGTTCATATAGTAGGTATGTAAGATTTCCATACCATACAGTTGACCAGCTAAACATTAAAGCACAATTTGCAGCAGTCGCCTGTTTTCCCAATGTAATCTGAGCTATCTACTGCACGCACATTGCTATAAAGACACTATCTGAAGATGAATTTGCATGCGTGAATCAGAAACATTTCCATTCAATAAATGTGCAAATAAAATATGATGCACAAACTTATTGATGATTCCTACTTGTCTTTCTCGTGATAAATAGTGGGCAAAATCTGATATGTAGCGGGGAAAAAAAGAAGAAAGAGTTTATCAGACGCTGGATTCGAGCCGAGTTTATGCTCGAGCGTGTCAGTACAAGATCACATGCTTCTTATGAGGTGCGCCACTGAGACTGCTAAGGGTACTGCAACATTTTTCAGTTATAAACCACACTATTTCTGTTTTAAATGCACTCAGTGCGATGTTCAGACCCAACTGTGTTAACCGTATCAGCTAAACTCTCCCACTCTATTTTTTTCTTTTGTTGTTAATTCCGGAGAACAAACTTGCAAATAACACCGCTTTTCTCCGGTCTACCTCCGAAAGCAGCACCTCCAATTCACATTCTGTTCAAAGTTTCTCTTCTTGCTTGATTTTGCCGTTGCTTTTTCGTTGGGTTTTGCCATTAGCATAGTCATTAGCATATTCATACGGGGGAGGAGGCAGGGAGGGGTTTTGTGCTCGTGCATGTTGCGCTCAGTTTCACGTTCATTCAGATGTACAAAAGAATATGCGTGAGATTCAGCGTACGCAGTGTTTCATACATCTGAATTTTTTTCTGCGTACGCACATTTACAGCTTTGTGCGTACGCAATGTTTTAGTAAGATTTCCACGCAAGTCTTCGTACATGAGGCCCCTGACCTTCTCTGAAAAAGACCTCAGTGAAGTCAAACATGATGATGTTGATGATTTCAGACTCCTAGAAGATGTGATCAGACAAGAGCTTCCTGCTGTAATGTCCGACATCAGCAGCAGATTCAACACAGACACATTTCCAGTAAAGCTGGACTATAAGTTCAGGCCAGATGAGCTTCTGGTTGATCACTTCTGTCAGTGCTGTTTGGTTCAGTGTCCATTCTGTGGAGTCACCTGCACAAACACTAAAAAAAAAAAAAAAAAAACGTAATGGAGGTCACAGTTTTCCTTTACACAGAGTGAAAGAAATTATTGTTACATGCTACCATTTATCACAGAATCTCTGTGCTGATATTTTTACAGATTTAGTAGTAAGTCATCAAGATTTTAATACACAAAATGAACATTTCCCCTGGAGAGATTACAGAAGAGCAGGATGAGATTATGCAGTCTGGAGCAGTGGTTTGTGTGCAGAATCCAGTAAGATCTGGAAAAATACTATAGTAAAACATTCCAGAGGCAAAATATCTCAGACACGTGGAGAAAATACTCAAAACTAAATGCTATTAAGAGTTTGTATTGATGCATGTAATGGAGAAAATAAAGAATCACACAATTCTGTTACATATGTAACAGTCTAAATTAGCATATGCATTTGTTTATATGGAAAAACATGTATTTTCACCAAAGAAGGTCCATACTGACTCCAAAGGCAGATATTGATAAAATCAGGGCCTGTTGTGTGGACTTTGGGGGTTTTACGATGTGATAACATGTGGATTGGTCAGTTTGAATGTCTAAGGCCCCGTTTACACTAATGCGTTTTAGTTTGAAAACGCATAAGTTTTGCTACGGTTACGCCATCCGTCCACACTACGCCGAAGTTCTCTAGCGCCGAACGGAGCTCTGTCTCAGTGTGGATAAGCAAAAACGGAGACATCTGAAAATGGAGGCGGGGCTGCAGACATTCGCCTCACTGATTGGAGCTTTTCCTCAATATTAAGTAGCCCACACAGAGTTCAGTCCTGCATCCTCTCCTTGTAAGTTCAGACTTCGCAAGTTTGATCAAGGCTGCAGTCTCTTTTCAGTTTGATATGGAAAGCAGACTATACCGAGGACACGGGTAAATCTTCAAAGGGAACAGTGTACTTTATAACTTCATTCACATCACCCTGGCTACGTTGTTTCACTTTCTCAACAATAAAATGTAAACATGATTTAAGCAACTGCCTATTTTCATTTTAATATTAGCAACTTTACAGACAGCAGAAATGTTGCGGCGTCGTGCTGCATATATGAGCGTCATCTTCACTGTGTGGATATTTATAACAAAACGTAGCCGATAACAACTGCCTCCTTTCAATTTCAGTGAAAATACGAAACATACCCTCTCTTTTGCTGAATATCAGTTTTAATAATCGATAATGGCCATTATAAAAGTATAACATACAATAAGTTTATACATTATAGGAAATAAAGGCAAGCGATCAGTCAATAATACAGAATGTACGTGCTTACATTAATCATTAACTTATCTTTGCGCTTGGCCAAAACACATTACCTGAGAAGAAGTAGGCTAATATATTCCAATGACCAAAGTCAGGGAATATGTCGTTAGATAAAGACAAGATGAATGAAATATCCCGTTTAATAAATATAGTGAGATTAGATCCAGCGGGAGATGCTTGATGAGAAGTCCGACTTGCCAAAGCGTGTGTGTGTGTGGTCACGTGATGTGCGTTTTCAGCGTTTTGGTGTGGACGAATGTGGACGCGGATCGTTTTCATTCTAAAACTTCGTTTTAAAACTAAAACGCACTAGTATAAACAGGGCTTAAGTATTTGGGCTTTGGTCACATAGTCAAGAAAGAGACAAAATAGGTGGTAAACTTGCTCTGCATCTTTTCCTGGTCTGCTTCTCACCTGCTCTGCTCCTCTTCTCCTCTCCTCCGCTACTTTGAGGCCTACTTGCTCTCTTTGTCTCTCCCTCCCTTTGTCTCTGCTTCTACCTTTGGTAGCCTTATTTTTATTTAAGCTGGGTACAATTATTATCACATGTTTTATTATTTCAGATTTTATCATTTTATACAGTTATTTTGTGATTAATACAGTTGTAACCATAGAGAATTATTGTCATTAAATCATCTCAGTTTCAAGTATTTTTGAATTACTTTTGATTTAACATCAACACTTGATTGCTCCATATTGCAAAAGTCCTTACTTATTAAGATACAAGGAGTTAGTGAGAATTCTTCAAGGCTCTAATCTCCACATCCCACACCAAATTGTACCTATTTTTTGAGGATTACAGTCTCGAGATGATTCTTGCACTGTAAACGTTACACCATGTGATCTGATACACTAAACATTTATACCTGAATTTTTTTCTCTTAATATAAGCAGTTTTGTGGTTTTCAAACATAGGGCTGCAGCTATTGAAACTTTTAATTATGAATTAATTCACTGCTCCAATCGATTGATTAATGAGATAAGCTTTTTTCAATTTTCTTTGAGGACCTTGTGACCTTAAATGCAACAGAGCAGTGTCATGTTCAGAGCATATGAGGATGACATCTTAATTTGTTTGAAATAAAAAAAAAAAACTGCACTTCAAATTGGATATCCTAAAATGCTCTTAAAAGCAGGGTGGCTCTTAAAAACAGGTTGGCTGAATCACTGCTGAATTTTAAGATTAAGATCCATTTATATACTCTGACATGTATAATGTTCTTATCTTTTATATAATTATAATTACAAATCTGTATGTGTATATATATATATATATATATATATATATATATATATATATATATATATATATATATATATATATATATATTAAGGGTGTAACGATATGCGTATTCGTATTGAACCTTTCTGTAAGAGACTTGCACATTGCAAACCAAACGATTCGATTCAAACCTATATCTAAAAAGATTAAAATGTATAAATACAATGTTTTCAGTGCAGCAACGCTCAACATGGCATCCTAAATGATGTGGCAGACAACATGCTGCCTTCCCCACTGTCATGTTAAACAGTAGACCATCACTTTTGACCTCAGAATATCACTTTGATAAACATGCAATAAAATTGCAATCTTGCTGCCTTTTGTGTCAGCCTGCTCGTGCTGGCTCCGCCCTTGTTGCCCCAGCAACCCTGGACCCTGACACAGAACAGCCAATCTCAGTAACCTACTTGTTCACATATCACCGCACACCCGTCCACCTCCAAACACAACTCCTGTCAGGCACGCGCAGCACTTGTTCGCAAATGGCTAGTAACGTTAATATAATCCTCCATCAGACCTTTTTCTTGGCAGCTGCTTGGAGGGTGCCATAGCAACCAGCGTCTTCAGGTAGAATATTTAGAACTTCCGTTTACAGCGTTTACAACTGATAATTTGCACTCAGAAAATGGGATTCAATAGCGTTTTGAGTGGATTACGGAGTGTTTTTGTGACACACAACTTTAAAAAGTGTGTGTCAAAGTCCTTATAAACTGTCAGATGTAGTCCAAGGATGAGAGGAAAACTTTCTCCTAGTTTACATGACAGCAGGTCAGAAATACAGCACGCGCAATACTTCACTGCATTATAGAGCAATCGCACAAAA